TAAAAATACAAAAATTAACTGGGTGTGGTGGCAGGCACCTGTAATCCCAGCTATTCGGGAGTCTGAGGTAGGAGAATCTTTTGAACCCAGGAGGCAGAGGTTGCAGTGAGCCAAGATCGTGCCATTGCACTCCAGCCCCTGGGCGACAGGGGAAGATTCGTCAAAAAATAAATAAATAAAAAAGCAGAGAGTACCCTGGTGAGAGGAAGTCCTGCTTCCTGGGGCACAGGCTCTTGTTCCTAAAGAGGAAGAAAGATCGCACCCGACAATGTGTGGAAGTAGCAGTGCAATGTGCAAGAGCAGGGACCTGGGCCTGTATCCTGGACTCCATCCAAGTTGCTTGTCTTGTCTGTCCCTCAGTTTCCTCGTCTGTTCATAGGGTACTACAATAATACCTACCTCTGTAAATTGCTGCAGTGAATTACATGAGCTATTTCTTGTCAATCTCCTAGAACATTTATTGGCACAGAGTAAACACTATCTATTAGTTCTTCATTGTACTGTTTCTAAATTAACACAAACTTTATTAGTATTTGGGCATATTTCCTTCATGGCCTTATGGTCTTATGTCTCATACTTTATGTTTCGGATACGATTCTTAAAATCTTATCTGAAGATATGATTTAAAAATCTTTGACATACTTGTCCTTGAAATTCCCAGTAAAAGGGAAACCATCAGTCCCATAGTCCTAGGGGCCTTCCCGACTTACAAGAAATCACTGCTTCATGGCCCAGTGCAGTGTTTTAGAGGAGAGGCTGAAGGCTTGGGAAAGCGGCCCCGCATTCAGACTCAGACCTCAGGGGCTGTGAGTTCTGTCTCCACTTCATTGTGGTTGAATCATCTTGTCAATTTCCTTGATGTGCCCTTGAGTTTCTCTTTCTTCGTCTCTAAATTTTGGAGGATCAGATGCCAGAAAGTCGGGAGACTGAAGAGTAAAGATGTGGAAATCCCTGCCTAGAGCCTGGTAGTGGGGACAGTTTTGTCCTTGGGATGGACCCGACTCCTGCCCTCTAGGCAGTGACCACAGCAGCATGTCCAGCCTTCCACTGAGGCAGGCGTGTCTGTCTTTTCTCAGAGTATGAAGAGTGCAAAGACCTCATAAAATCTATGCTGAGGGATGAGCTGCAGTTCAAGGGGGAGAAGCTTGCAGAGCAGCTCAAGCAAGCTGAGGAGCTCAGGTGAGGGGGCCCCGTGGGGGCAGGCAGGTGGGCAGGTGTGTAAATCTCTGACGTACAGCAGCTCGGCGGGGAGAAGTAAGAGCTAAGCTGGGTCAGGGAAGGGAAGGAATTGCCATGGCAGGCTCATGACACACAAATATTTATCAAACAGAGAACAAGGATAATAATAAGTTATGGGTTGCAGTTGTTTCTCAGAGCCTTGTTTTCTCTTTTTCAAACAAGTAATTGTTGAGGTGAAATTTACATAACACGAAATTAATCAAAGGAGTGCAAACCATCCAGCAGCATTCAGTATACTCAAAATGGTGTGTCATCACCACCCCACTTACCCTTAGTCAGAATCACCTCCTGACTGGCTGGGGCGTCTCATTCTTTCACTCAATCAATGTTGCCTTCTCGGCCCTGTCATTCTTTTCTTCTTTCATCTTTTCAATTCGCCCCATCTGCACCCAGCCTCATTTTTGTACATGGCTTTGTATCTATAGCCGCAAGATGCACTATGCATATTTTCACATGGAAATGTCCGTGGCCAGGGTGAGGAACTGAGAAGATGTCTTTTTGAAACGGAATTAGGAAAACACCTACTTTTGTTTACAGAAGAGAAAGATGAATGGAATATCATCAAGGATCTTACAGGAGTCCTCTCTGATACAGAGGAAACCTGTAAACCATTTTCTATTCTTTCTCTTGGCCACAGACATTCCTTTAAACATGTGCTGACCTTCTGCTTGGAGGTCTCCTTGAGGACATTGTCTCAGAAATCTCTGTTGCAATATTAGAACTGATCACTCATCCCTTTCCACTGTTAAATGTTCTCTACCATCTCACCTTAGGCAATATAAAGTCCTGGTTCACTCTCAGGCATGAGAGCTGATCCAGTTAAGGGAGAGGTTACGGGAAGGGAGAGATGCCTCCCGCTCATTGACTCAGCATCTCCAGGCCCTCCCCACTCCAGATGAGCCGGACAAGTCCCAGCGGCAGGACCTCCGAGAACAGCTGGCTGAGGGGTGTAGGCTGGCACGGCACCTTGTCCAAAAGCTCAGCCCAGGTAAGGTGGCCATTGGCCCTGATGACCCAAAACCCCAGGCTTATGAGAGACTCCAGACCTCCACACTTTCACAATGACAGTTGTATCGGTGGGGTTTTTCCACTAAACATATGTGGCCATGACATGACCAGGACTTCCTGGGTAAGAACAGAGTTGGGAAACCCATGGGGTTGGAGGTCACAGTATTGCAAATGTCCCTCCTTCCTTGATGGAAGGTGGTCTTTGGAGCAAGAGGCAGCGTCTATCGAGTTTTAAAGGACAGGAAGGAGGCTGTGATGGGCGGATGCTTGTTAGAGTGAAAAGAGCTCTGGACTAAGAATGAAGGTTCCCAGGCTGTCTCTTCAGCAATGTTCTTAATAACTGTTGGTGAGGGAGTGATTTATCCTTCCTGAGTTTCTCTCTCTCCATCTGCAAAGGCAGCCAAATTGTCTCTTGCAAGGGTCTGAAGCATCCAAATGTGGGAACACTTACAACTGTTTTTCAGAATGAGATGAAGCCCCTCGCCGTGTGGTGTTGGAGAAGGCACTTGATGTGGGGGCATTTGGTGGTAGGAAGGGCTTTAGACTGGAGCACTCCCCACGGAGAGAGTGTCCCTGAATAACACAGCAGAAGCCACGTGGAGGGCCTGTGCAGTCTCCTGATGTATAGAGGACTGTGGAACAAGTTTGTCCTCTCCTAAGAGAAAGAATTAGTTTCTAAATGCGAACTGTGACAGGACACCAAGCCCGTGCCTGGGAATCAGATCTGTGGCGGGATGGGGGAGACAGCTGCCAAAGGCCAGAGAGAGGCTGCACAAGCCTCCAGTGATATGGGGAGCAAAAGGTCTTTTCAATATTTGGCCATATCTTGATGGTGGCCCTCCAGATAGAAATGCATTGCCTGATGGATCAGGAAATAATGCCAGGGCATTTTGTTAAAGATAAAACATGAGAGCTTTCAGCTGAACGGTTGACACGCCTAGACGTTCGTGTCTCTGTGTACATTGGGCTGACTGTGCTTGCAGAGTGTGAAGTGGGAAATACCTGAACGAACACTTCTGTATTTACAGAAAATGATGAAGATGAGGATGAAGGTGTTCAAGTTGAGGAAGCTGAGAAAGTACAGGATTCATGTGCCCGCAGGTAACACTGAATACTCAGGAGCAAGTAATGGGTGGTAACATATGAAAAGGGTCTAGGAGGCGCACCCTCTCTGGCATCTACAATGGGCCCAAAGCCTGCATTCCCTTGGCCACAGTATGTGAAATTCAACCCAGCTTAGACACAGGGTGTGGCAGCTGTTGTCTCTCTGTGTGTGCTGAGTGTCATGTCTGTACTGTACAGGGATAGCTGAGTCTTCATCCTCCTCAGCTCCTGTCTGTCCAGTGCAGTGAACACCAGTTGCTCTCTTCCTCTCTGGCTCCCATGGCAGCCATGCTCTGTTGCAGAGAGAAGAGGATTGCCTGTCACTTCTTAAAGGGAACCTCCTGTTTGCTTTCTGGGGCCTCTCTCTTAATGCCTCCTGTCAAAACCAGCTAGGACTCCCTGGGGTCCAATCCCTCTGTGTTTCATCTTCTTTCTTCTCTATCCCACCTTGCTCATCAGGGAGGTGCAGAAGGCTGAAGAAAGGGAAGTCCCTGGGACTCACTGGAGGAATGTGCCGTCACTTATTCAAATAGCCATGGCCCTTATGACTCCAACCAGCCACACAGGAATACCCAGATCACATTTGTGGAAGACGAAGTCGACTCAACTCTCATTGACTCATCCTCTCATGATGAGTGGGAGGATGCTGTACATATTATCCCAGGTAGCCTCTGTTTTCCTTGTGTCTCCTACCTCTGTCTAGGCTGAGGAAGATAAACTCTGAAGACAGGCTCTATACACACAAATTGGTTTGAATAAAAAAACTGCGATGGGATTCTAAAAAGATATCAGGGAGTTTTTTTGTCCTTCTCAGCTCATGTCATGCCTTTGTCTGCCAGTCCCCAGTATGAACTTTCTGGACCCCATGCAAGTTTGACAATCTCATAGTCACCTGAGTGCAGGAGGTGCACAGGAAATATCTGTCGGACCTCCTAGCTTCGATTCAGTATCTCTTGTCATCTTTGATTAAGTCACCGGTCCCTGAACAATGTTCATGGAGTTTCTATGCCTTTTTAAGGAAGCTGGCAGCCTTGCCTTTGTATCTGGAAATATTGATCCCTAGGCTTCACTGCTCTCAGCTTTAATCTTGATCTCCTTTTAGTCAGCTTGCTTAGCGGCACAGTCACCCTGAAATCAGGATGGAAACTTTTCTTCTTTACTTTGCTGATGTATTTCCATAAAGCAAGGCTGGACCCTGTTTCTCCACTCCATCAATGCAATGGCTGATCTAATGTTTCTTTGTAGCATCATATACACACACACACACACACACTCACACACACACATATGTATACACACACACACACACACATATATTGTTTCGCAACGGAGTCTTGCTCTGTCACCCAGGCTGGAGGGCAGTGGGACTATCTTGGCTTGGTGCAACCTCTGCCTCCCAGGTTCAAGTGATTCTCCTGCCTCAGTCTCCTGAGTAAATGGAATCACAGATGCACACCACCACATCTGGCTAATTTTTGTGTTTTTAGTAGAAACGGGGTTTCCCCATATTGGCCAGGCTGGTCTTGAACTTATGACCTCAAATGATTCACCTGTCTTGGCCTCCCAAATCACAGATTCTTTTTAAAGCAAGAATTGTTCAAATTTGTCAGTCGAGTTTCATGTATAGATGCCTCTAAACATTTAATGTCCATGTTACCTGGTGATATAAGTCAGTATTGCAGCAACACTCCAAGAAAACTGTTTGACCAATTTCTGGAGAGTTTTTTGGGAAAAATTTTGTTTAACTTTGACTCAGGCAGGGAATATGGCATTATGGTGTATACGTACAGGGAGATTTTGGCCTGTGAGTCTGGAAAGCTGGGTCATCTACTTCTCACCAGACTTTATCTAGGGCACCCTAGAATATTCCTGTCAGAATCCATATTCTTGCACTGAGAATAGTTATATCCTTGTGCTATGACTGGACACTGATTTGGTCATATGTGAAGTGTGAATTGCATAATGTGACATGCTTCTCTGAATTTATTTACAGAAAATGAAAGTGATCATGAAGAAGAGGAAGAAAAAGGGCCAGTGTCTCCCAGGTAATGCTGTGGAATTGTGAGCTGTGAATTCAGTAGTGACACCTGGAGATTATAGATTGAGGAAAAAAAGGGGAGGTGATGAATAAAACTATTTCTTCTATTCACCCAGCTACAAATTGTCCTTATTAACAATGTTGTATGTTATTTGTGGCACTTGTATTTGTTTTAATTTCATAGTCCTCTCAGTATAGGCACTTGCAATCAGATCAGCCTGGTCAATGAGCCAAACAGGGATTTCTTGTTGATCTTTTCAAAAAAACCAGCTCCTGGATTCATTGATTTTTTGAAGGGTTTTTTGGGTCTCTATCTCCTTTAGTTCTGCTGTGAGCTTAGTTATTTCTTGTCTTCTGCTAGCTTTTGAATTTGTTTCCTCTTGCTTCTCTAGTTCTTTTCATTGTGATGTTAGGGTGTCAATTTTAGATCTTTCCTGCTTTCCCTTCTGGGCATTTAGTGCTGTAAATTTCCCTCTACACACTGCTTTAAATGTGTCCCAGAGATTCTGGTATGTTGTGTCTTTGTTCTCATTGGTTCTAAAGAACGTATTTATTTCTGCCTTCATTTCGTTATGTACCCAGTAGTCATTCAGGAGCAGGTTGTTCAGTTTCCATGTAGTTGTACGGTTTTGAGTGAGTTTCTTAATCCTGAGTTCTAATTTGATTGCACTGTGGTCTAAGAAACAGTTTGTTGTGATTTCTCTTCTTTTACATTTGCTGAGGAGTGCTTTACTTCCAAATATGTGGTCAATTTTGGAATAAGTATGATGTGGTGCTGAGAAGAATGTATATTCCAATGATTTGGGGTGGAGAGTTCTGCAGATGTCTATTAGGTCTGTTTGGTGCAGAACTGAGTTCAAGTCCTGGATATCCTTGTTAACTTTCTGTCTCGTTGATCTGTCTAATGTTGACAGTGGGGTATTAAAGTCTCCCATTATTATTGCATGGGAGTCTACATCTCTTTTTAGGTCTCTCAGAACTTGCTTTATGAATCTGGGTGCTCCTGTATTTGGGTACATATATGTTTAGGATAGTTAGCTCTTCTTGTTGAATTGATCCCTTTACCATTATATAATGTCCTTCTTTGTCTCTTTTGATCTTTGTTGGTTTAAAGTCTGTCTTATTGGAGACTAGCATATGAACCCCTGCTTTTTTTTGCTTTCTATTTGCTTGATAGATCTTCCTCCATCCCTTTATTTTAAGCCTATGTGTGTCTCTGCATGTGAGATGGGTCTCCTGAATACAACACACTGCTGGGACTTGACTCTTTATCCAGTTTGCCAGTCTGTGTTTTTTAATTGGGGCATTTAGTCCATTTACATTTAAGGTTAATATTGTTAATGTGTGAATTTGATCCTGTCATTATGATGTTACCTGGTTATTCTGCCCATTAGTTGATGCACTTTCTTCCTAGCATTGATGTTCTTTACAGTTTGGCATGTTTTTGCAGTGGCTGGTAGAGGTTGTTCTTTTCCATGTTTAGTGCTTCCTTCAGGAGCTCTTGTAAGATTTTGCCTGATGGTGGCAAAATCTCTGAGCATTTGCTTGTCTGTAAGGGATTTTATTTCTCCTTCACTTATGAAGCGTCATTTGGCTGGATATGAAATTCTGGGTTGAAAATTTTTTTCTTTAAGAATGTTGAATATTGGTCCCCACTCTCTTCTGGCTTGTAGGATTTCTGCCCAGAGATCCACTGTTAGTCTGATGGGCTTCCCTTTGTGGGTAACCATACCTTACTCTCTGGCTGCCCTTAGCAGTTTTTCCTTCATTTCAACCTTGGTGAATCTGGCAATTATGTATCTTGAGGTTGCTCTTCTCAAGGAGTATCTTTGTGGTGTTCTCTGTATTTCCTGAATTTGAATGTTGGCCTACCTTGCTAGGTTGGGGAAGTTCTCCTGGATAATATCTTGTAGAGTGTTTTCCAGCTCGGTTCCATTCTCCCTGTCACTTTCAGGTATACCAATCAGATGTAGATTTGGTCTTTTCACATAGTCCCATATTTGTTGGAGGCTTTGTTCATTTCTTTTTACTCTTTTTTCTCTAAACTTCTCTTCTTGCTTCATTTCCTTAATTTGATTTTCAATCACTGATACCCTTTCTTCCACTTGATCGAATTGGCTACTGAAGGTTATGCATGTATCACGTAGTTCTTGTGCCATGGTTTTCAGCTCCATCATTTAAGGTCTTCCCTACACTGTTTACCCTAGTTAGCCATTCATCTAGTCTTTTTTCAAGGTTTTTAGCTTCCTTGCAATGGATTCACACATCCTCCTTTAGCTCAGAGAAGTTTGTTATTACTGACTTTCTGAAGCCTACTTTTGTCAACTCGTCAAAGTCATTCTCCATCCTGCTTTGTTCCATTGCTGGCGAGGAGCTGTGATCCTTTGGAGGAGAAGGGGCACTCTGGTTTTTAGAATTTTCTGCTTTTCTGCTCTGGTTTCTCCCCATCTTTGTGGTTTTATCTACCTTTGGTCTTTGATGATGGTAACCTACAGATGGGGTTTTGGTGTGGATGTCCTTTTTGTGGGTGTGGATGCTTTCCCTTTCTGTTTGTTAGTTTTCCTTCTAACAGTCAGGTCCCTCAGCTGCAGGTCTGTTGGAGTTTGCTGGAAGTTCACTCCAGACCCTCAAACAGGGATTTCTTGGTGTCGCCTGTTCTCTCCCATGTGTTTAAATCCAGAGAGAGATGTACATATGCTTTCTGCCCATTTGTTGTTAGTATGTTTGCTAGTATTTGTGCAAGAAAAGAAATTGGAAAAATAAACATATTATATCAAAATATTGGAAAAATGGGGCCCTTAATACACAAGCTGTGTGTCTGCACTGCCTCAAGAGCTCTGTTCACTTGAATGCCGCATGCAAAATTCAACCCAATTTATGCAAAGTAGTTGAAGCCCTGCGTTAGTTCTCTGTGCTGCAAGTCATGACGGTAGTTTACAGGAAGAGTCTGGGTGCCCTGCGTTGGTTCATCTGTGGCAAATATACTGAGCACGTGCTGCCCATTTTTGCTCTGTCCCCAGAGCAGTCACTCTCCACCCTGCATTTAGAAGGATAGTTTTATTTCTCTTGAAGGAAAAATGCCTTTGGTTTCTGTGACCACTCCATTCTCTCTCCCATCAGATCATCTGGGGGGTTTTGTTGTCTAATCTCTGTTGGTTTAATCTTCTGTCATCTCTGTCCTGCCTGGCTCATCAGGAATCTGCAGGAGTCTGAAGAGGAGGAAGCCCCCTAGGAGTCCTGGGATGAAGGTTATTTGACTCTCTCAATTCCTCCTGACATGTCTGCCTCATACCAGTCTTACAAGAGCACCTTTCCCTCATTAGAAGAACAGTAAGTCGGCTTGGCTCTTGACATAGGCAGTGAGTACTCCATTGTGAAGGTAATAAAGCTCCAGTTCATGTCCCAGGTGGACCCCATAATCTTTGGGCCTTGTACCCCTGGTTGGGCTGACAGTTGCCATCACTGTGGGCTGAACCTATATGTCAGTGTAGATTTCAATCACTCTGGAGTTGAGTCTGAAGCACAGGCATGGGGTGGGTCAGTGAGCTTTGCTCTCTTCCTAGTCTCAGGCCATGCCCTTGCCACCCTTGACCGACTCTCAGGACATTGAACTCAAGGCAGGTGTGGCAAACTCACACCAAGCTCTGCAGCACATGCCCAGGAGTTGTCTGTCAGATCAGCTCATCTGAATTAAATGTCTCTTGCCAGCTACTAAGTTCCTTATGAGTTTCATTCCCAAAGCATGTCTGTGCTGTTCTCTACCTGCCCAAGGCCAGTGTCACCCTTGTCTACCTCTCAGTGGAAGATGTGACCCAGGTTTCACTGAATTTATCCTTATTTTCTGTGTCTTCTAAGTTGGCTTGTTTTAGCTCATCTGGGGCCCACCATGCCCCAGGTAACTTTGAACAATTGTAAACAGCTAATTCTGTGTTGACACCTGGAGACTCCTGGTTCAGGGAAAACAGAGCGGGCCGACAATATCAATTACATCTTTTCAACCAAGCCTGAATTATTCCTACTAATGTTGCTGTTGGTTTTCATGACAGTAGGTATTTAGGTATCCATTTCTTCCTCCCGTTATCATTTACGAACGTACTGTAGGTGGACCATATTTCAAAAGCTGTATTCTCATGGTGACTGCATGGAATCTTGAGCACATTTTATGGAACATTATTGAGCACAGTCTTTTCATGATCACTGTATGCTGTGTGTCCTGAGGGCACTAACTCAGAGTGTCCTGACTCCCTCATCAGTGTGTCACCTGGACAATTCACTGAGCTCATTCTCTCTCTCTCTGTCTCTCTCTGTCTCTGTGTGTGTGTGTGTGTGTCTGTCTATCTGTCTCTTTCATTCTTTTCCATTTGACCCTGTTGTGTCCCGTCATGAAGGCAATAATTTGTTACCTCATTAATGAATCTATCCTTTTTCTTTTTTAACCACTTCCTTATGCTACCCATGAAATCCAGTTGGGGCTCTGTTGTGTCTGATTTCCCCTGGCTTGTTCTTTACTTTTTCTACTTTTCCAGACTTAGCAGGGAGCCGCTGGAGTTAGTAGAGCCTGAAGCCTTGCAGAACTCACTGGATAGATGTTATTCATCTCCTTCCAGTTATCTTGAACTGCCTGACTCCTGCCAGCCCTACAGAAATTTCTTTTACTCACTGGAGGAACAACACATTGGCTTTTCTCTTGATGTGGATGGTGAGTACCTTTCTATGAAGGTGATAAGGATCCACTGAGTCTTCCATATAGAGATCATATTCCTGCTCCAAGTGGCCGTTACTGAGCTGAGAGATGTCATTGCTGCAGTGAGGACCTGTAGGCACATGTAGGTTGAATGAAACTCTAGTTCTACCTGGAAGCCCAGACATGGGATTGGTCAGTGAGCATGGCTGTCTTCCTAGTCTCAGACCATGCCTGTGGCACTCTGATGCTACTCTCACGACATTGGACCTGGGCAGATGTGACAAATTCAGAGAACTATGATTTGACTCAAGGGTTTGTAGATTTCCTTTTTCACTGTAATTTCAGTGTCTAAAATCCTCACAACCTTGAACAATCTGAGTAGTTGATGAGACAGGGCTAAATATTGCAGTTTTTCTCCCAGAAATCATTTGAGGGCATTTGCTTTAAATTGATTGGAAAAACATGGCATAACCGTTTGCACAAACTTGTGACAAATGATATTGGGATAACGATCTACTAGAATAGGGACATTTTACCCACAGTTTCTGGGACAAAAACCAAGGAATCTCTATCATGACCAGCCTTCAGGCCTCCGGAAATATATCTTGTTATGCCCAGACCGTTTATTCCCCGAAGAAGACCACCAGAGTCCAGAGTCAAAG